TCCGTACGAGAATAATTTTAGAAAAATCTTGATGCTGCTATTCGTGCTGGTGGAGTGAACAGACACAGGCTGTTCCAGTTAAGCTAAAAGTGAAAGTGAGCACTGCTATTGTCTGAGCCTTTATTGTGTGTGGTTTCAAAAAAGCCTTGTTATTTAGATTCCTTTTTTAATTGGAACTAAACCTCTTTTGTCCACACTGATAATCTGAAAAATAGCAGTCAGTTTTCTCCAATAGTTTAGCCTTAAAATGCTATGTTTGTTCAGCATTATTTGGTGAGCTCCAAAATGCAATGGTCTTCCTATGGAAAGAAGGGGGCTTGAGTCCTCAGAGCTTTTTAGAGATCGAACTAGGCGAAGCGTCGAGTAGCTTCTTGTCCTGCTTTTCAAGGATGAACCAAGGAGGAGCTAGGACAAGGTGTGGGAATGTTGTTCCAGACTGCCAAACAGTCCTACTGTATTACATGCCCAACGCTGGTCTTACTGATTTTTGCAGTTGCTTAAATAACTAGGCTAAAACCCATCTATTTTTAGTAAATCAAAACATGATTAAAATGCTGATGTTTAATATACAGTGGTTTTGGAGAACACATGAATACTTTTGTATGAGTGTGAATTGCTTTTTAAATTTGTCAGTATTACTGGTATTTTTTAAATAAAGGTAACAACTTTTTCTCTTGGTGTTTTTGTGGTTTAACTTCACGCTTCTGTTCTTACTGGTTTACTCATTGGTTCAAAACCCATTTTTAAATGTTTGAAACAGTTACAGAGCAAACATACTTAAAATGACAAACATGAGATTTTCAGCTGAGTCTAAAATGATGGGAAAAAACAAAGTTGAAAGAATAGATTTATATTTTCACCAGAACTATAGTAGGAACACCTCTCTTGAGGTTTTTGTCCTTCCCATAAATCCTCTACCCTCTGTTGAAGTATACCCTGCTGTGTAGGTTCTTCTCTTTCCTCACAGGTAACGGGGGTGATATAATCAGACATTCCATTCTGTAATAATCACTTATTTTCAGTAACCAGCTCTAAATATTCTTTTAAGAGCTAAATTGATTTTAAAATCCTCCACTAGTGAAACTGAGTTCCAGATTAGGCTGCTAATTTTCCCAGGCTGGTGCCAAAAGGATATCTGGCATCAGAAGGATTTTCAGGTCTGTGCAGTCAGACTGAGTAGTGGCAGGAGGCAACAAGCAGCAAGAGGGGGTTTGGCTACAAGGGGGTGACAGATGCTTTTGGACACTCTTCCCCCAGCTGGCTGTAACGGGTTACAGTGCACTCAAGCATAGAAACTCCTGCCTGCTTACAGGAAGGTAGGAGCCTTATTTGTAAGGCAGGAAAGAAATGGACTTTCCCAAGCCCACAGGTAGAATTAAATAAAGATTTCTGTCACATGGCCTGGTTCTTGGTTAGCTCAGATGGGTTTCTCTTACAGAATGTTCTGAGAACAGTTTTAAATTTACAGTCCAAGGAGCTAAAATATCTGAAAAGCTCTAGGGGAGAAAGATTTAATAAACTGTCAAAAATTGTGACTAACAGGAAGCATCTGCTGTTTCCTCTTAACTAAAAATACAGGATTTTTAATGTTCCAAAACCAGAGCAAAACTTTCCTGTCTAAGGGCATATCATAAAGCTGAACTATGCCTAAGGACACAGAAGTATCTTTCCAGTCTGTAAATTGATTTTTTTTGCAGCACCTCATTCTCCTGCTGCTTTTTGGCAGGGTCAAAGGTAGACATGAAATTTTCCAAAAAGCCTAAACTGGCCATTTCCGTGCTAGGTTCTCCAGACAGGTGCAGGTACTCTCTTCCTTTTCAAGCAGTAGACACTGCAGAGTGTGTGCGTGTCAGCGGCTTCATACAGTCGCATTTTCAAGCAGAGCCCTAACCACAACGTGAGACACCCCTAACTACACACAAAGCTACTTAGGAGAAGGGGCCCAAAGACATTTGGGCCTTTTCTATTAAAAATGCTGAGGCGGTTGAGGTCCTAAGTAGAAGATGTGTAGCCTTTAAAAACAAGGAAATGGTTAAGTCACCAGACGCTCCATCAGGCTGGCAGTTGCTGCACAGAGCAGCAGCTGCCTGTAATTGCAGGGCTGAAGGAACAAAGCATGCATCAGAAATTCAGCACTGTGGGGCTCGTTCTTGTTACCCACAAGTTTGGTTTTCTCCAGAGGAAGACATGGGCCTGTGCAGCCCCACAGGAGCCACTGCAGGCTTTTGCTGTTGGTGCTCTGAGGCCTCCACCACCCGCTCTGCTCTACCCAGCATGTCTTGAGTGCACCTCCTCCTGAAACAGTCGCAGGCCAAATTCTGCACACGAGGCCAGAACTCACACACGGTGGCTGCCCCAGCTTTGCTCTCCCTGCAGGATACCCAAATTCACCCTGAGCCACAGAGGACACACTACATAGCGCTCCACAGGCCCTTGTTTACAGTTTGATTGGTAATGATTGACATAATGAGCCTTTTCTTTGAACAAAGCTCAACTGCCTACATGGCCACCTTGCCTAGAGCATCAGTTTCAGGCTGACTTCTGACAGATACTCAGCACTTGGCAATTCAGGAATCTGTCTCCTCACCTGGCAGGAGATGTCTGGGCACTGCCAAAGATGCCACCAGGGGAGCTCTGAATCGCTGCCTCAGAAAAAAAAACAAATTCCTCCAGCCTCTCTGAGGGGATTGCCAGGCTGGACACTTGCTCTGCTGGCACACATAGAGCATGGGGCTGCTGACCCCTAGGATTGGTGCCAGGAGCCCAGCAACCCTTGCACAGGGGTTTATTCTTAGTAATCTGAGGTCAGAAAAAGACAAATAGGTCAGGTTGGTAAAGCTTTCCCTAGCCAATTGGGCAGTTAATGCTTGAGGCCAGTGATGCAGCTGCTGAGCTAATCCATGGGCTACAAGCAGGGACTTCTACACACTGGAAGGATGAAAACTGAGCAGAAAACAAGCCAGTAGCAGTCAGAAAGAAAATGAAGGGTGCAGAGCTGGTTTTTGCCTTGTGGATGGAGGCATGAGCCCAGGGGACAGGGCTGGACAAGATGGTCTGAGAAGTACAGGCACAGAGGTGGGTCCTGGGAATGTGTGATCAACTGAAAGACCACCATGCTAAGACTAGCTAAAGTCATCTCTCACATCAGCAATCTCAGTGCAGAGAAACCTCTTTCCAGCACAGCTGGACCTATAGCCCACAAGCCCCAAAGCAGGAGCCAGGATAGCCAAGCCACAGACATCACAGAAAGGGGCATCTCCAAAGGAAAGGGGAGCAACTTCCCCTGACCACTGACACCCTTCAATCTGAAGAGTGAAGCTGATGATGTAACACAGGAGAATGTTCCAATAGCACTTGGGTTACTCTGCCAAACAATTTCATATGAAGTAAGTGTGTCAAAGACTGCAGATATGGCTCCTGTCACGTGACATTCTTTTATCATGCACAGCACTTTTAGTACTGCAGAGGTCTGGGTACTTGGTGGTAATTTACCTTTTCAAAATTAAAAGTTCAGCAAAGAGTCTTGTGTCATTTTCCCTGCCAAGAAACTATGCAATTAACAGAAAAATCACACTGAACAGCTGCTTGAGCTGCTAAAATATACTGTAAAAAGTAATTATGCAAAAATTTCATAGAAGCATGTCAAAAGATAACATCCAGTATATAAATGCCAGGCTTTACTGACATTTTTAAAATTAAATTGCTCTCCCAATATACTTACCAATGGCAACGTACAGATGTATTAGAAATATAAACCTGTACAATCTACACCAAAAAAAAAAAAAAAAAGACTGATGAAAATGGAGTAGTCACAGTTAGCAGGAGTGATGGCTTTGAATCCTATCAAGAAGTTTTTCTGCCACTGGTTTGAACTCTTTTTCCCAATATAGTTTGTGGTCTTCCCTTAAATCTCCATCGAGGCTGCAATCCAACACTAGTTCTTCATCTGTAATCAAGGAAAATACCATCAGTTCTGAACAAAAACCATACCAAACTATGTATTTTATGACCACAGCACATACAACTTCTCTGCTGTGTATGTCAATGGCTTAAAAACAACTCTGCATTTAAGACAAACTAAGCATCACTGTGTGAGTGACTTAGATTTAATTGAAAATAAAGGATGTTAAGGTCAGCAGAACAGTCAAAAGGGTATTGAGGGTTCTTTTATTCTCACACCTCATAGGGGTAGCTAAACTGTCTCCAAGATCAAGCATTTACCATGACTGTCAGCCTGGTAACTACTTGGGTTTTAACATTACCCATGGCAATTTCACTAATGCAAGCACTAAATCTCACCACAAGTGTGTTTTTCCTGTCACAAATTGCTCTGCTAATTTAGTTCATGAAGACTGTTTTAAAGGGTACCTACCCCTCCTGTCCTACTTGAACCACACTAGTTACTAAATTACTGATGCCCTCCCCTTTCCTCACAAAATTCATAAATAAAATAACCAGAGACTCTTAATAGAGACAAGGAGTGTTAGGAATGAAAGGAAGTCATCGCTTGTTATTCCTCCTCCACTTTCCCTGGCATTGGAATGTGGCAAAGAAAAAAAACCCTTCAGAAAAAATCAGTCTGCAACCAGCAGCATGCTCCTGAATCGAGACTCTGCAAACACAACTAAGAATGCTGAACAGATGTTTTCATACAGTTTAACAGACAGATATTTGACAGACCCTAGGCCATAAAAAGACTGAAAATCAAGATACAATCATGCACTAAATGGACAAAGTGTGACTTCTCTTTGTCCCAGACTATGAAAGACCACCAGAACCACAATGTAGTAAGTAATTCCACAAGGGAGCTTACTGCACATTCACAGCAGGTAAAAGACAGCTTGGAACTGAAAAGAAACTTCAAGTTACCCACACTTAATCTGCTCTTGCTGCAGGGAGGTTGGACTAGATGACCTTTAAAGGTCCCTTCCAACCCAAAGTATTTTACTATTTTGAGTCAAACTGTGTAGAAAAGAGATGTTCAAACAGCAACTAGTCCTGTGCCAAAGAATGCCAAGGTGCCTCTGCAGAGCACATGGCCTGAGCAGCAACAGCTACAGAGAAAGAGACAACATCACTTCCACATGGAGATTGGCTCCATTTCATAGAGAGTTAGCAGGAACTGCCAACAATACTTGACTTCTGTGCCACTACAGTGTTCCTGAACTATCAAAATTCAAAAGGTGCTGGTTGTGACAGAGATTCCTAAATGGGTTCTGCATAAAGAGAAGATGCCATTTAGAGGCTTTCTGCAATAATGAGAAAACAAACAAACAAACAAACATTCTTTCAAGAAGGGAGACATGTCATACGTCTGCAGGAAAAACCCTAGCAGCCAGAGATAAAATCCAGCCTCAGGCATCAGAGGTACATTTGATGGTATCATAGGATACTTTAAGTTGGACAGGACCTCTGGAGCAGAGCCACCATTGATCAAGTTGCTCTGGTCCATGTACTGTTGAGTACTGAAAATCTCTGGGGATGGAGATTTCACAGAATTTCTGAACAACCTGTTCTAGTTCTTGACCCCTGCCATGTTGGAAACTTCTCTTCCTAATATTTAATTGGAATTTTTCTTACTGCCACTTGTGCCCATTACCCCTTGTACTGCCAATGACACAACAGCCCAACATATGTAAAATGAATTTCAGCAGCAGAGAAGTGAGACACCCTGAAGAGGAAGGTAAGGGATTATGCGTTTTGTTTTCAGGGAGAATTACTTTGCCTACTCCTGAAACGATTCTTCTACCCAAATTAACTATCTTCTAACACAGAGAAGAGACATTTCTCCCTTTTATTAGACAGCTGTGCCCCCCAGAAGTTGATTGAATGTTTATGGAATCACCGAGGTTGGGAATTCCAGCCTACAAGAGCAAGGGTCAGAACGAGTTCAAAAGCTGAAGTGTAGAACCAAACCAGTACATTTCCCAAAGCAGAATGAGAGTAACACTGGGGATCAGTAAAGATCAGTGTCCCACACGCAAGCTGCACATCCTCAGATAATTTAATCTTCCCACAACTCTCCTCAAAACTAGCACAGCTAGATACTGGTCAAACAGTGTATGAATTGGCTGCAAGCCCAAGGCAACCACACTGGGTCTGCCTGCTACAGAGGACCTGAAACTAGAGTACAGTTTTCTTGTCTGCAAGGTCTGCCCAGCCCTGTAACTCCTCAAATTGACAGTGGAGGTAAAGGTGAGCAGAAGAAAAATCTGGAAAAAGAGAGGGAGAAAGGGATTTCACTGAATGACCAAACAGAAGAATGTTCTTAGGAGACAGGCTCATCTCGCTGGTGCTCCGGGGGGACTGGGGTTAAGCGAAGCTGCTGCCAGGAGCATGGAAACACCAGCCTCCAGGAGCTCTGAGCCAATAAAGCAACATGAAACCCCAGAGCAGCTGAAAGAAGGCAAATGACAGTGCCACTGGAACGCAGTGCCACTGCATCTCAGGCTGCTGGCATCAGGCAGTGACGGTTCAGGGCTGTTACTGGGTACAGTGGGAGGAGGAAGATGAAGGACAATATTAACCAAGTGCTATTACTAAAATTTGTTGGCTCTTACCGCACAGAAGAACCCAGATCCAATTAATAAGATGCATGTTTTCTACAGCTACTCTTCTGACAGTGTGGAGAATGACTAGGTGCCTGATTTCATTCTGATCTTTTTCTAATTATTTGTCATTACAGTTGCATTACAATTCCAATGGTATCTGCAATCACAATTTTATGTGAACTTCCAGTTCACAGATAATGAGAGTTCCAATTATCACCCAGCCTGGACTCTGCAGTCAAATTAATTGCTGGAATAAGCAGTGATAAAAGCAGGGGAAAAGATAAGCATGAATTTTCCAAAGCAAAGATATATATTTCTTGCTGCATGCCAGAAAATTCAAGTCTGATTGTGTCTGCGAAGTTTGAAGCTCTGTTGCAGAACGTTAAAAAGTGCACTGATCATCTTGAAACACTGTTTTCAGATAAACATATGGAATTACTGCTCACACATTAAGATATGGTCAATCATAGCAAGGAATGTAATGCAAGAAATGATTACAACAATGAGTAACAGTAATTCTGCTGTAAGTGGGAAAAATCCTCACAAATCCACTCATTTTTCTGATTGTCTAAGAATAAAAGAGACCATGAGAATCTCACTTTCTGTCTGAGTCTGACTAACATGTGGCCTTCTCCACAGCAAGCATATATCTTTAGGAAATTTCCAATTAAAATCAAATCAAAATTAGTTAAAATTTGCTTCAATTTAATTTACACTTTAAAGATTTGTTTTAAAAGGTAATTGCAAATGACCCACCCCCAAAAAAAAATCAGAACCAAAGCCATGATCATAAAATAAAGGAGGAAAATTACATATAGTGATTATAGGACTATTACGTAGCAATTAAACTCTAAAATTTGAAGCAAACATAAATGTGCAGATGAAAAGATCCACCTGGGTGAGGGGATCAGGGTCTTAACATTGACTTGTAGGCACCTTCCAGCCTGTATTTGTGGAGGAGCACACTCTCCCTAGCTTTAGGGAGCAATGAGAAATTATCAGGATGTTGTCTTGGCCCACAAGGAAAACAGAAGATGAGAAATGAAGAGGCTCTTGTCACTTCATAGTCAATTCAGGATTATGAATCTCACCTAAGAGTGATTTGAGCAGCAACAGCAGTATGTCAGTATCTTCTCCAAAGCATGGGGCCGCACTTGAGATGTTTTCACTGTAGTTCCACAGGGTTTTGCATATCAAACAAGCCAGCTGCCAGTCTGCTGGGCCAAAGTCTTGTAAACAGTCAACTAACCTGGCAGTATCAAACAAAAACAGTGTTTTGCTCCATGTAGTTTTCTCCTGAGCCCTTCAAAATCTGACATCCAACAATGTATGCAGACTCCATGAAAGTTTGCAGGAAAATTCTGTTAATAAACTGAAGACACTACTTTATTCCTCAGTAACTTCCTCCTTTCCATTTAGTCTAGCTCCTTGAAGATGTGAATGTGCCTTTTATCTACACGTGCCATGTACATGGGTAGATAAATGGGTACCATGTACACATGATACCTACCTGTATCTGTCCACCACCTGTAACTTTTTATCCCAACTGACCAATTTTAATCACACACATTGCAAATGTAATAATCCCAAAGACACTAAAACTCCATCAAATTTAATGACAGTCTGTGACTGTCCCAAATCTGTGGCTACCACCAGAGCAGAGATTGCAATGTGAGCCAAACCTTATCAAGCACCAAGAATTCATCTGGAAAAGATGCAGATAAAGCTTCAGTCAGACTATCCAGCTTATTACACACCAGAGGATCTGGCCAGAAGTCAAATCCAAAGGAATTCACTACTGCCATGACACACAGGATTACCTTTTACATTCAGCGAAGTCTGTTTTGCAGATCTCTCCCTTTCTTGTATTTCCTCAGCCTGCACTCCCAATGGACTCAGAAATGGCAGTTTTACTAAGGACCATTAGGTTCTTGAGGTTTCTCTCAATCTCATTTCCTTCCAGGTACCAAATTCATAAGCAAGGCTCTGAAGTTAAGCTGTAACTTTTCAGCCTGCACCCGTTTACATACAGGAGCTATCTAGAGTTCCCAGTACCAAACAGCAGTGTTCACAAGTCCTGGGGCAGCAGAAGTAAGCATTGTTTTTCACCTGCTGCCCCTACTGACCTCTCTCATAGCAATCCTTCACTGCTGTTCTCTTCCCCAGCTCTACGCACCCCTCTTGCCCTCACTTCTCTGCTTCACTGTGAGATTTAAGATCTGGTGATTAGTAAAGGGGACACGGAATAACCACTGCATTCAGATACAGCTGAAAATAGCAGTACTTGAAAAGCAACCAAAAAGAGGTTTGTTTTTTTCTCTCCTCTCTGAGGGCAGTCATTGTGGAAGACCGGGAGGCATCTAATGAAAAGCCAAAAGAGCTCGCCCTAATTTTTTTAAGTTTAACTCTCTGATGAGATTAATTCCATGTTTCATTAGGGCCACTATATATTGGTACAATAACCTCATTTCCAAAAATCCACAGAGCTAGTTTGGCACAGTCAGGATGACCTCCTTCGCTTCCAAAATCTCTAGATTTATTCCACACTGTTATTGTTTTTCCTTCCTTCAGAAATTTTTGGATAGAGTACAGAAAATCCTGTATTTTACAGAATATTCTATATAACAGAAATTTCTCTCATTCATTTTTCAATTTTCTTGCAACATTTTTATTGTTCTTCTTCAGCTTTATATTTTCTAAGTTAACGAGAACATGAAGAATGACCAGACTATGCATTGTTTATATTGTATAAAAAAAGTAATTATATGATGTATGAACAGGGAAGCATTTCAAAATTAGGCATACTGTTTCATAAACGTGGGTTGTATCAACTGCTTTACAAGCATAGGAACACGATCTCTCATGTTGCTCCAATTAAGCCGGACCTGCTATTATCTGATCATCAAAACCACAAGTGCTGTAAGTGGTATTAGATCTTGAAAAATGACTGTAGGTACAACTTAAGTGCCTTAAACCTGAACTCTCAGAGAGAGGAGACTCAGGAGCTGTTGTTCTCTGCTGAGCATGGCTACATCAGATAGTTCTCCCTACAGTGGTTGTTACAAAAATTGCAAGAGACCATGGGGGCTATCATAGTTCCTGAAGTAATCTTCACACTTACAACAGATACATGTTAATGGTGCCTACTAACTGTAGGATCCAGTTAAGTCAGGCATGAGCAGCTACTGCAAAACCATGCCTTCGTTGCTTTTCTGTATGGTGCTCTCCTCTGCTGTATACATCCGCAGAACCTTTGATTTTTCTACAGTTTATGGCTCTGCAGTAGGCTAGACAACTCTAATGCTTCTGAAAAAAAATGTACGAAAGACTTTCTTGAGGAATATTAGCTGCTGAATAGCTATTAACTAAGTATGTATCCTCATTACAAGTTACTGGCCTCTAAAAAAGAATCTGATTGAAACTCTTTGGCTAAATTACTCAAAATTGCCCTACTAATCAGCACGATTGAAAACTTACTTTGCAATTCCTCCTTCTTCCATCAGAAGAGCTCGTTTGTTCTTATCTACTGTGAGATTGAGCAGAACTCCACAGGCAGAAAAACAAACATCTTGGTTTTTGGAATCGAGCAAAGCAATCATGAACTTGTATACTGGATTGTAAAGAAGGAAACAATATTACTGGGAGGATGGACTTATCATACAAGTGGCATTACAAAATACTTATTAAACATACAAAGTTAGAAAGCAGTCAGATGCAGGATACTCTACCCAAAAGTTTAACCTTGTAGCATATTACTGTGACATTTGTAGAGCAGGTGCATGACCCTGAATAACAGCCACTATTACATCATGCTGAACATCAGGTTTCTTCAAAACAGGACATACGAAATTCTAGTTATAAAAATACACCAAAGTAACGTGAAAATCCAATCAGAAGAGCTTAAGTTGACCAAACCAAATTACAGGTTATTTTGCAGAAGCATCACCCTCCTCCTTTCGATCGCGC